CTTACAGCCACTTGCCTCTTCAATCAATATGACAGCATGCTTTTCCTTGTTTAGCAATTTCTCCGTTACTTGCAACATATTGAGTAGCTTAGATTATGCTTTCATTTTAGTTGACATTCAATTAAATCATACAATACATCTATTTTCTCAAGAAATAAATTGAGCTAACTAATTAGTCAAAATCCAGCTTATCATTTTGGCTTCATTGAACTCTAATTAACTAGAACCTTAATCTATTGAGAATAGGAGGCCATAGATATTATTTCAATAAAATTATTTTATTTATTACTTAATAATTTATTCTGAGACTTTTTTAGTTACTTTGATGCCTTATATCAAATAGATATAACTCCCACTAACCAACATTTATTAAGTGGGTATAATTCTAACATAGTTATCTCATAACAAGATTATTAATCAAAAAATTTATAGAGCACATATATTAAACATGTGATCATAATCACATGTTCTTACCAAATATTCTTATATATATATATATATTAAGAAATCATATTTACCCATTAATTGCAATAGTGTCTATCAAGTCATTGTAATTGACCTCTTTAGAGAAAAGAATTATCAATGAAGTTTCTTTCATCACAATCTTTATTAGTCAATCCTTTACCATATCATATATCTCATGGGTTTTATGGATAAACAATTTTCATTGTTACATCCACCTCATGTGATATTAATTCATGATTTTCATTCTGCAGTTTAAAAAATATTTTTCTTAAAAAAAACTTGTATATAGTATTAATATTAGTAATTGAATTCTAAATTGCTTTTAGAAAAACACATTGGTTGAATTTCTTGAATCCAACAATCTTATTTAACATATACATAACGCAATGTACCAAGGTACAGCCTTCAAATTCAACATCATCTATTGACATATATTAAAGTCATATTATATATATATATATATATATATATATATTTACCTCTCAAGTCTAAGGGCAATAAATGAATTGTAATACAGTTCTTTTCAATTATTGATAGTGACAAGCTTTTATGGTGCTTTTTAATTAGATCTTGTTTATTGTATGTAAATCATAGTTACACCCACTTGTTTGCTTTGAGATCATTGTCCAAATAGTAGAGTTAAAATATTTTATCTTTCCGATAGAGACATAACAAGTGTAAACTTTAAATAATTTGTCACATTTAACCTTGAACAAATTTGACAAATAAGGAACTGGATAACTATAATTCTCTGCTTAATAGTTTATCAACTATTAGCGTAGTTTTTTTTTTTCGTGTTATCAAATAATTTATGATCATATCATATATGTTATAGATAAATAAAATATTAATTAAAATATAATATATGTGAAAAATTGATATAATAATTTATTTATAATAAATAATAAAATTGATTTTTAAAAAATATACGTCTAAAATGGTAAACTATGGTGATCAATTGATTTTGTTAAAGTAAATATATTCAAACCGAAATTTTTTCACTGTTATCTAACTCTCCTTGTGAAGAAAAATTTTAGGCATAGTTGGATTACGAATATGATGAACTCTTTTTGGTGTGAATGATTGAAAGATAATTCAAAACTGCCAATTGCTTCAAGAAAGGATTCCCAATTGTATGTGGCAAGCAGATGGGTTGAGTATCATTTTGACGTTTTTGTTCGTTTATTTTTGGGTTCAGGTTTTGTAAAAAAAATTTAATTTAATTTGTGGAGCCCTTCGTTTCCTCCTTTCAAAAGGATTAATACAACATTAAATATCAAAATTAAAATATTAAAAAGGTCATTACTTTTCCAAATTGTCTAAATCATTCCTTATCCTTCCAATTATACCCAATTAAGCTTTTTTAAAATATTGTTTTCATTTAATTAAACCTTTATTTTGCATGAAAATTGTTAAAATTCAATATTTATGTAATGTTATTTCTACCACATCAACATCTACATGATAAAAAGGATTTTGTAAATATTGGTGTGACTTATCATGTAAGACACTGCTACATGTCATGCCAGTATCAATTTTGCATGAGACTCATGTCTGGTAACTTGAAAATAATTTGGAGTAAAAGTTACTTTTTTTACATTTACAAAAAAATTTAATATTTTTTATCATTTGTGTAAATTGTCGAAAATATTTTCCTATTTGGATCATTTTATGTATGATGATATTTCCATCACCATCCATTTGTAAAAATTTTTCCATCTTCATCACTTTTCCACCTTAACACCATAACAATAACGATATTCAATAACTGTGCAACACATCCCAAACTTAATTTTCAATATTAAAAATATCAGATATAAATAACAAAATAAATAAAAACATATGCATAGATAAAAATTATCCTCTTGTATAATAAAAAAATTTCACATAAATACCAATCATCCTATAAATATGTATCTTAAATAATAAAAACTGCTAAAAAGATAAAGTTAATTATTATCCTACCAAAAATGAATTGGAGTGGTTGAACCACTTTTTTGCATTGGCTTCATTCATCAACCGCACTAATAGAGAAACAAGAGAAGGAACAAATAGAACAACCTAGTGTGACCATGAATTTAAATTTGAAAACATTAGGGCCCTAATTTAAACAACCATTACATCCTTGGAAGCAACTCATTTAACCGTCCTAAAATTCTGGACAGAATTAGTTTTTGATGAATAGTTCTCGTCATAGGCCAAAGAATCACCATTATGGCACATTCCCAACAATGATGCTGAAAACACGAAGCATTTTGGATCTTATATCATTCTTAAGACTTCTCCACAATTTCCAGAAAATCTTCCATACAACCATTTTCCTCAACTTTGAATCGGTGTAATGGAAATTGCTTCATGAGCCATGCATTAATAATTTGCATAATGAAGCTTTTGATATTGAAACAGTCAACAGATGCTTGAGAACGAAAAGCCTCTAAAAGAGACTTTTCACATACTTTAACAGCCAAGAGTTTTTGTAGTTTAGTAGGTAATAAAAAAGCATGTCTTTTTAGGAACATGAAGAACTATTGTCACGTCCCATTTTATGGTGGAACATGATCGGCGCATGAATTTAGATGAGAATAACTCGTTAGGCCCAAGCAAGCATTTTTAACATTCATCATTAAACCTTCATTAGTGCGGAAGCATATTTAAACATTCATAGGCATACAATATCAACTCATGCATACCATTATATGCAACATTACACATATATGGAACTTTTTAACATATTAGTGTAGGTGCAAACATTTCATATATCGTTAGAGTGCCACATTTTCAGTGCACTATATCATTTACATGTCTCAACACCTTTGAGTGTCCGTAAGGGCTCTTAAGCCACTTTATACATTTAACATAACATTTATAATGTAACATGCCCAAACATTTGGCTACATTATTGTAACATACTCATATTCCATAAAACATGTTCATAGTTTGTAAACATAAACATAACATATATTGACTCGTTTGTGGAATATGCTGTACTCATTAGGCATTAAGAGGTAGCTAGACACCTATCAATGAGAAATGAACGGACCATGTCTTCGTGACACTGGTTGCTAACAAGAGAGTGCTATCATTGATCTACAACAAAATTATTGAAGGAAAATAATGTGTGAGTTACAAAGATTCTGTGAGTGGATACAAGGAAGGGGACAGGCTAGGGGATAAGAGTTCTTTATAGCCATGCAATTATAAATACATTTGATTCATAAATTCAACATCATTACCATAATGATCATATGACATGGTATTTAAGATCTCTTTTAAAGAACATTGCATGGAAAACCACTTGCCTAAAATATTATAACTCATTTATCCTTGAAAACCTCTTTAAAATAACTTGGACATCTTTTTCTAGAACCATTCTATCAATACATTCTAGAACATATCGATACATGCAAGGAATCTATTGATACCCTTGGTAATGTATTGATACATTTCACACAGAATGCTTCTTGTAACATTTTGTTGAAAATGTATGGATACATACTTCATATGTATCAATATTTTCACCACAATCAATATTTTCTTGAATTCTAACTCATTCATAAGTCTTTCTAGCATTGAAGGATCATTCCTTAGGCTAAGGTTTTATCTAACTAAGTCGGTATCACCACATTTGTGAAATCCCACCTTGAGTTAGAGGATAAGTTATGAAATTCTTAGGTAAGCATATAGATTATATGTTTTGAATATCAAACTTAGATTGAACTTTAAAAAGAATTATTGACAATTTTGGTTGTTTGTTGATAACTCTATTATATAGAGTTATTTTGACTCATTTTGGGAGCTTAAGTAGCTAGATCTTTGAGATTTTATGTTCGAATTTTGGCATTATAGGTGTTTTTTTTTAGTTTAAGTTTGATTATTTGTTAAGTGATTAATTTAAGTTATTTAGTTAAATTTTAGGTTATTTTATTTTAAATTACTTTAAGAGTAGTTATTGCTAATTTCTCCTATGGCTTTTGTAGGAAATTGATGAAAAAGAATCATTGATGAAAATCAGTGCAAGTATGGTGATAGCTTCATTCGTATATGTTTCAATATTTTGACCATATCTCTTTCTAAAAAACTCCAAATGAGGATGTAAAGACTGAACATGATGCAGTATTTGGAGCAAATCTTTCAATCCAGAAGTTCAATTGATGTGATTTTTAATCCATTAGAAAGTTAAGAGACAGGGATAAAACTTTTATGTTTACTACTTTGCCCAGTTCTTAATATATCAGGGTGAAACTCATGTTTGAGTTGATAGACTGCCACAGTGCTGGGAACAAGGCTGCAGCGTTGATGAAAGGAAGCACACATACAAAATTCCAGAGAGCTCAACGCTGGAGAAGTAGCGCCGCAGCGCTATGCGACTTCCCTAAAAAAATAAAGGACATTAACGGATTTCGCAAAATTAGGTTATTTGGAGCCTATTTAAGGAGACTTTTTCAGAGATTTTTGAGGCAGCAGAGAGGCAGCAAGAGAGGCAGCAAAGGAGGCAGCAAGAAACTATTCTGGAGATTTGGAGCCAAGAACAAAGCAAGGAAACAAGAGAATTGGAGAGAGAATCAAGATCATACATCTCTAACTATTAGTTTTCTCTCTTCACTTTGTGTTTTTTTCTTATTTTTCTTGACTTGGATTCATGGCTAAATTTCTTTGGATATTGTCTTTATTAGATATTATGAACTAATTTATTTCTCTAGGATTGCAATTGAACTCACATGTAATCTAGATTTTTAATCACTTCTTGCTTATTTTCAATGGGATTTGAATTGTTTATTCCAATTTGTTCTTAATGCTTTTAATTGCATGGCCACCAATTAAATTGATCTAGAAACCTAAACAAACTTGGGAAAGGGAGTTTAGTGTAGACTAAAATTGGATAGCATATATATCATATTAAGTGATTTGCGTATAGGATAGGATATACCTATAGGCCATATGTAGCCAAATTAGAGCCTGAACTTAATGAGTTTGTTTAATTTCAATTCACATAGGGATATAGTGTTTTGGTTAAAATAGATATTTTTATAAGATGAGTTGGGAGACCCTTATAAATAATTTAGGACTCTAGGTTAGCAATTCAAACCATTGAGATAAGTTAAGGAAGAGAGGTAAGATTTAGATGAAGTGTGAGGTATTGTACATAGGCTTGTTTGATTTGATATTTATTTGAGTATTTATTATTTTGATTTTTCTTAATTTAATTCTGCTATAACTTAGTTTGATTTGATATTATTTTGATATTGTTTGGATAAGATTAATTTGCAATAATTTTAGTACTTAGTAAACTTTTAGATCAATTCCCTGCGGGATCGATACTCTACTTGCTAATATACTATCTATTCGATACGTATACTTGCGTGGTAGAATTTTAACTGACAAGTTTTTGGCGCCGTTGCCGGGGAATTGTTTCTAGAATTTATACTAATACTAATACCAAGCAATTTAGTCTTACTTCAAATTTATTTTCTGTTTTAATATTAGATTTTGTTTGTTCGCAGATCTCTTTGGTCATTGCATGCAAAGAAGAAACAACTTGAATCTTGTTCCTTTTGATCCTGACATAGAAAGAACTTTTAGAAGACATCGAAGGGAGAATTTACAAGTTGCAACTTTAAATCAGACAATGGCTGAGGATAACAATAATAATGGCAATAATGCCATTAATTTGGTTCCCGAAGCAAATAGAGCACTACGGGATTATGCTGTTCCTCTTGTGCAAGGTTTGCACCAAAGCATTAGGAGACCTTCCATCAATGCGAATAATTTCGAAATTAAGCCAGCTTACATTCAGATGATTCAGTCTTCAGTCCAGTTTAGTGGATTACCTAGTGATGATCCTAATTCTCATCTGGTAAATTTCCTAGAGATTTGTGACACCTTCAAGTACAATGGAGTAACTGATGATGCTATTAGATTGAGACTGTTTCCCTTTTCTCTGAGAGATAAAGCAAAAAGTTGGCTTAATTCATTGCCTAATGGGTCTATCACTACATGGGAGGACTTGGCACAAAAGTTTCTAGCAAAATTTTTTCCACCTGCCAAGACTGCAAAGATGAGGAACGATATCACCTCATTCATACAATTTGATGGTGAGTCCTTGTATGAAGCCTGGGAGAGGTTTAAAGAACTACTGAGAAGATGTCCACATCATGGGATTCCTGATTGGTTGCAAGTTCAGACATTCTACAATGGGTTGGTTGGGTCAATAAAAACCATAATTGATGCTGCTGCTGGTGGGGCATTAATGAGTAAGAATGCTGTAGATGCCTACAATTTGTTGGAAGAGATGGCCTCCAATAATTATCAATGGCCTTCAGAAAGGTCAGGCTCGAGAAAAGCTGTTGGAGCTTATGAAATTGATGCACTTGGCACCTTAACTACTCAAGTAGCTGCGTTGTCCAAAAAGCTTGATACACTGGGAGTTCATGCAGTTCAAAATTCATTAGTTGTTTGTGAGATGTGTGGAGATAGTCATTCATATGATCAATGTCCATATAATTCCGAATCAGTCCAGTTCGTGGGGAATTTCAACAGGCAGCAAAATAACCCATACTCCAATACTTATAATCCTGGTTGGAGAAACCACCCCAACTTTTCATGGAGTAACAATGCAGGGCCTTCCAATCCAAAACCCATCATGCCTCCTGGTTTTCAACAACAAGCTAGACCACAATTCCAGAAAGAAGTCCCAATTGGAATAACTCCTCTTGCAATATATATCCAAGACTGATGCAATATTCAAGTCAAGGAGCCGCCTTGAGAAATCTTGAGACCCAAGTGGGACAGCTCGCCAATTCCATCAACAATAGACCTCAAGGTTCCTTACCCAGTGACACACAAATCAATCCTAAGGTAGGACAATGCCAAGCATCACTTTAAGGAGTGGAAAAGAGATTGAAGGGGTGAATCAAAAAGCAGTTGATCTGAGATTGAACATGTGATAAGGAAGGAATGTGTGAGAATGAAATTGAAATTCAACAAAAAGATGATGAACAAGGCTGAAAATCAAGGAACTCTCCAGTCATCCATCCTCCAACACCTTTTCCCAAAGACTTCAAAAGCAAAAGCTTGAAAAGCAATTTCAGAAGTTCCTCAATGTCTTCAAGAAATTACACATAAATATTCCTTTTGCTGAAGCTTTGGAACAAATGCCCAGTTATGTCAAGTTCTTGAAGGACATCCTCTCCAAAAAGAGAAAGCTAGGTGAGTTTGAAACTGTCTTCCTTACAGAAGAGTGTAGTGCAATTCTCCAAATAAAACTGCCACCCAAACTCAAGATCCAGGTAGTTTCACAATCCCTTGCACAATTGGTAATTTATTTTTTACAAAAGCTTTGAGTGATTTAGGTGCAAGTATCAATTTAATGCCTTGGTCAATTTTTGAGAAACTTGGTTTGGGGGAATGCAAACCCACTTCTGTACTTTGCAATTGGCTGATCGTTCCTATGTGTACCGAGTGGAATTATTGAAGATGTTCTTGTCAAGGTTGATAAATTTTATTTTTCCAAGTTGATTTTTTAATTCTTGACATGGAAGAGATAGGCAAATTCCAATCATCCTTGGGAGGCCATTCTTAGCAACTGCTAGAGCGATTGATGTTTGGAAAAGGTGAGCTCACTTTGAGAGTTCAAGACTAACAGGTAACATTTAATATTTTCAAAGCTTTAAATTACCTACGACATCTGAAGACTGTTTTCTGTGAGCATGGTAAATAACTGTCACAAGAGGTTTTCTTAGAGAAAATCCAATGATCCTCTTGAAGCATGTTTAGTTGCTAATCCCGACAGGGATGATGATGAATTTATTGAATATTCTAATTTGTTAAATGCTCACTCCAGATTAAGAACTAATCATCAATTTGAGTCTTTAGATATCTCAGCTTCTTTGATGCCAGCTTCTAAGCCCTCCATTGAGGAACCACCTACTTTGGAACTGAAACCTCTGCCTGATCACTTGAGGTATGCTTTTTTGGAAATCTTTCTACTCTTCCAGTTATTATTTCTGCTGCTCTTACTAACATGCAAGAGGAGAAGTTATTGAGGACACTTAGAGAATTCAAAAAAGCAATAGGATGGACCATAGCCGATATTAAGGGAATTAGCCCTTCTGTTTGCATGCACAAAATCCTCCTTGAGGAAAATTACAAAGCCACAATTGAACAGCAAAGAAGATTGAATCCCATCATGAAAGAAGTAGTCATGAAGGAAATCATCAAGTGGTTGGATGCTGGAATAATCTATCCTATCTCTGATAGCTTATGGGTAAGTCCAATTCAATGTGTTCCTAAGAAAGGAGGAATGACTGTGGTTGCCAATGACAATAATGAGCTCATCCCAACAAGAATGGTGACTGGATGGCGAGTGTGCATGGATTATCGCAAGCTTAACAAAGCTACTAGGAAAGATCACTTCCCTCTTCCATTCATTGATCAAATGTTGGATCGCTTGGCTGGTAAGGAATATTATTGCTTCCTAGATGGTTATTCTGGTTATAACCAAATTGTTATTGCTCCTGAAGATCAAGAAAAGACTACATTTACATGTCCTTATGGCACCTTTGCTTTTAGAAGAATGCCATTTGGATTATGTAATGCACCTGCCACCTTTCAAAGATGTATGATGGCCATATTCACAGACATGGTGGAGAAATGTTTGGAGGTATTTATGGATGATTTTTCCGTCTTTGGAAATAATTTTGATGATTGTCTCTTAAATCTGGCTAAGGTACTCAAGAGATGTGAAGATACAAATTTGGTGCTCAATTGGGAGAAATGTCACTTCATGGTGCGAGAAGGTATTGTCCTGGGGCACAAGATCTCTAGCAGAGGCATTGAGGTAGATAAAGCAAAAATTGAAGCAATTGAGAAATTACCACCTCCAATAAATGTCAAAGGTATTAGAAGTTTTCTTGGTCATGCTGGTTTTTATAGAAGATTTATTAAAGACTTTTCAAAAATTTCTAAACCACTTTGCAATTTATTGGAAAAAGATGTGTCATTTAAGTTTGATAATGAATGTCTTGATGCTTTTGATGAATTGAAGAAAAGATTAATATCTGCACCTATCATAATTAGTCCCGATTGGACTCTCCATTTTGAACTAATGTGTGATGCGAGTGATTATGCGGTGGGAGCTGTTTTGGGACAAAGAAAGGATAAAATCTTTCATTCCATCTATTATGCTAGCAAGACTTTGAATGAGGCCCAGAAAAATTATACGACAACAGAAAAGGAGCTCTTGGCTGTAGTGTTTGCTTTTGACAAATTTCGCTCCTATCTCGTGGGGACAAAGGTGATAGTGTACACTGACCATTCAGCTATCAAATATTTGATTGCCAAGAAGGATGCTAAACCAAGATTGATAAGGTGGATTCTCTTGCTACAAGAGTTTGATCTCGAGATTCGTGATAGAAAAGGAACAGAAAATCAAGTGGCAGACCATCTCTCAAGATTGGAGATTGAAGCTCAAGGTATGAATTCAACCTTAATCAAGGAAACTTTTCCTGATGAACAAATCCTTCAAGTTGGTAAGAAATCACCTCCTTGGTATGCTGATTTTGTGAATTACCTGGTAAGCAATATCATTCCCCCTGATTTTAATTTTTCATCAGAAAAAGAAATTTTTGCATGATGTGAAATTTTATTTTTGGGATGAGCCTTACTTGCTCAAGCAATGTAAAGACCAAATCTTCAGAAAATGTGTTCCGGAAGAAGAGATGCAAAGTGTGCTTCACCATTGTCATTCTTCAGATTATGGAGGACACTTTGGAGGAATAAGGACTGCTGCTAAAGTCCTCCAATCAGGTTTGTATTGGCCTACATTATTTAAAGATGCTCATAATTTTGTTTTGCATTGTGACAGGTGCCAAAGAATGGGTAATATCTCAAGGCGACATGAGATGCCTCTCAACAACATCCTGGAGATAGAAATTTTTGATATATGGGGTATTGACTTCATGGGTCCATTCATATCTTCATACAACAATAAATACATTTTGCTTGCTGTTGATTATGTCTCCAAGTGGGTTGAAGCGGCAGCCTTTCCTCATAATGATTCAAAGGTGGTGATGAATTTCATCAAGAAGAATATTTTCACTCGATTTGGCACTCCAAGGGCAATTATTAGTGATGAGGGGAGTCACTTTTGTAACAAGTTTTTTGATGCACTTTTGGCAAAATATGGAGTTAAACACAAGGTTGCAACTGCATACCATCCTCAAACTAGTGGCCAAGCGGAAGTATCAAATAGAGAAATCAAGAGGATTTTGGAGAAAACAGTGTGTCCCACAAGAAAGGATTGGGCAAGAAGATTGGATGATGCACTGTGGGCATATAGGACTGCTTACAAGACCCCTATTGGTATGTCTCCATATAAGTTGGTCTTTGGCAAAGCTTGTCACTTACCGGTGGAACTTGAACACAATGCTTATTGGGCTGTGAAGAAGTTAAATTTTGATTCACAAGCAGCAGGTGAGCAAAGGTTGTTGCAATTAAATGAACTTGATGAATTTCGCCTTCAAGCTTATGAGAATGCCAAACTCTATAAAGAGAAAACAAAGCAATGGCATGACAAGAAGATAATAGAAAGAAGCTTTGAGCCGGGACAATCAGTGTTACTCTATAATTCTCGTTTGAAATTATTTCCGGGAAAGCTCAAATCAAGATGGTCTGGTCCTTTCATTGTCAACAAGGTACTTCCACATGGAGCAATCGAAGTTACAGGGACAGATGGTCAAAAATTTAAAGTCAATGGACAAAGATTGAAGCATTATTGGGGAGGCAAAATTAATCGTCAAACATTCTCAATACACTTGCTTGACATGGCCTAGAGTCCGAGTCAGTCTAGCCGAAGACTATAAATGAAGCGCTTCTTGGGAGGCAACCCAAGATATTTTTTTTTTCTAAGTTTAGTTGTTATTTTAGTTAGTTCTTGTTTTTCTATTTAAATAAGTAGTTTTAATCTCTCCCTAGCTTGTTTTGCTGTGTATGTAGATTTGGAAAGCATGAAGATAAGGAGAAAGAAGATTAGAGCTTTCAAGGAACTACCAGCATTGATAGGGAAGTTTCTTTTTCTTATTCTTTTTAACTTTTCACATTGAGGACAATGTGCAATTTAAGTTTGGGGGAAGGTTTTATTGTTATTAGTTTTTGTGATAGTTTATGTTAATTTATTTTCGTTATTTTTTCAACTAGATTTACTTGTGCCAGCTTCATTTAATTTACCTATCCAATGATGAGAAATCAGTTATTTCCTATCTTGAATTCTTCAAAACACGTGAATATTGTTTGGTGTTATGTAAATTCTCATGCTAAGCTTTGCCATTAGGTTGAAATTTCTACATTTTGAGCACTATGTCTTTTCCTTAGATTTATTGTATATATTTAGAAAAGGTTTATGTGAATGCAAAATTTTGAATTATGTATTATGTTCTAGAATTTGTTTGATTCTCTCTCGAGGCGAAATCCTAGGCTATACTTAGTTAAGGAGATGATTTAGGCCATTTTTGGACCGATTGAGCCTTTTGTAGCCTTCCTTTACATAAATTATCCTCAGTTTCCCCCTTTGAGCCTAATGACATCTTTTCTTTGTTTGAACACTTAATTTTTAGCCTAGACCCTTATAATAATATTTGCAACAATTCTTGCATCCCTCATTCCTAAGTGCATAAGTCAATTTAGAATGTGTTATGAGCCACATAGTGAAAGAGGTAGTCAAGACAAAAAAAAAAAAAA